GTCCCAAGCATCTCGAATAAGGGGTACTCAATCTGTATCTTTTCCTATCCTTTTATCATTCTGAGCCCTTATATTAAAAGTATGTTTCTTGTAAGCGGCATAGTGTTGGGTTTTTTTTTTGTTTTTAAATCTAGGCTGATATCTTGATCATGTACTTGGAGACTATAGTATATTTACATTTAATATAATTGCTGATATTTATATCTATCCAGCATTTTTTAACATTATTTTAAGCAATCATCTTGCCAAAACCAGTTCTTGGTAGTAAAGATAATTTAGGAAGGTTAAGTAGATAAGCGAATTTACAAAATTTAACTTTAAAAATTGAGCAATTTAAAAATGACTGGATTGTCTACATCCAGAATAGATGATTTAGTTTGATTCCTGGTCCAGCAAATGAGGCAGATTGTATGAAATTGAAACTATTTACAAAAATGTAGGATATATGTTTGATATTGCAGGACTCTGTCATGTCATGGTAATGTGTGTTGGGTTTTTTTCCTGCTAGAATTACATTTTTTAAAAATGTTTTTTGAAGCTTGGATCTATCACATTACAAAGCATTTTTGTGTCACTTGCATGTATAATTGACAGACTTTGAGTTGTAGTTTCAGTGCTGGAATGTGGCAATAACTCAGAAATGCAAATGATTTATAAGGATATAAGACAAAACATTTGAAATGGGAATTATACTAGAAAGTCCTCGATTTATTTTTACTGTCTTTTTTTTCATTCTTCAGATTTACTGCCTTTTAGTCTTTTCGTGTTCTAGAGAAAACATGGTTTTCTCCTTTTTAAAAAGCATTTCATGTTCATTGCAGATAATTTGGAAGATAGAAAATAATTTAAAGGAGAAAATTAAAAATGTCCTTAAATCCATCCCTGAGATATAACCAAAGTTATTAGCATTTTACTCTATTTCTTTAAAGGGTATTTCCATGTATTTTGTGTGTGTGTGTGTGTGTGTGTGTGTGTGTGTGTATGCTAGCATGTGTGTGTTAAACTGTTTTCTGTCCTACATTTTCCCACTTAATAGTGTTTTAGGCATTTCCCCATGTCATTTTTGTCTATTGCTAGGAAAGTGTATGAGGAAAAAGGATGTGACCCCATAATTAAGAACACACAGGGTTCAGATAACCTGGAAAGTTAGAGGAGGCAAAGCACACGGGCTTTCCTCTAAGACTCTACTTGACCTTTTTCTAGTCTCCCAGTACCAGATCCTTTATTTCTCTTAAATATGTTGGCATGAATATATTTTTAGGAAAGAAATGAAAGTTATGAATTGTGTTTTAATTTCCCTAATAATTTACCGAGTTTATTATATCAGAATAATGTCTGAAAAGGCTTAGTTAACCCCATTTCTTTATAATCTTTCATAAAGTTGTCACCTTTTAATTAAATGTTTTCAAATTATATAAAGAGTAAATAATTCATTATTA